GAGAGAGGGAGGGAGAGAAGAGAAGCGAGATGGAGAGAGATAGAGAGAAGAGAGAGGGAGAAAAGGAGAGGAGAGAGATGGAGAGGAAAGAGAGAGAACAGGAGCAGAGAGAGGAGAGAGGGAGTAGTGTCACTAGGGGCCCCTCTCTCTCTCTCTCTCTCTCTCTCTCATTAGGGCCCTCGTCTCATCACTGCGGCGCAGACACACACACACACACACACACACACACACACACACACACACACACACACACACACACACACACACACACACACACACACACACACACTCTCACTCTCCAGCTGTGTGACCCTCTGTGACCTCGGGAACCAAGCTCACGATGGTTTCTCTCTCTCTCTCTCTCTCTTTCTCTGTTTCTCTCTCTCATCACCAGCGACGCTTTTTCCCGAAACAAATCAGACACGACGGAAACGACGTGTTCAACAAAACTTCTACAGCAGAGAAACAACACACAAACACACAAAACACACAAACACACAAAACACACACAAGTCACCAGACCACACTGCAAAAAACTGTATCTACCCAAGTTAAAATGACTTAAATTAAGAACATTTTACTTTATTTGAGTCGATTCGACTTGACAAGTCAAATTATCGACCGATGGAATAAGGCTGCGTTCAGACTGGAGCCTGAAGTGACCCAAATCCGATTTTTTGGCTTCAATGTTCCTGTATCTGATCTTTTAATGTCAGTCTGAACCACACAGATCCGATTTTTTCAAATGTGACCCAGGACACTTGGATATGTGCTCCTGAAACTGATACATATCTGATCTTTTGACATGTGACTTCAGTCTGAACGACCAAAGCGCATTCATCCACCTACACGGAAACCGGAACTGTAAAATCTCCAGGTGCTCAATGCTGCGTCCATGTTTGGACAACTTCCGTAAACACAGAGACGCTCGCTGCGGTTGACGTCGTCGTGTCTCCAGTGTCACATGTGCGAGACACTTTTCGGGCCGTTTAACTGTTCACACTGGAGTCACAGACAAGTCGCATTTAATTGGAAATGTGAACGACCTCGCAAAAACATCGGATTTCACAAAAAAATCGGAATTGAGCGTTAAGCCCTGCAGTCTGAACGTAGCCTAAGTGTGTTTTTCTTAATTCAAGCAACATTTGATTCTGTTTCTTATTTTAAAGTGCAAAAAGTTGTTGTTTTTCTTGTTTTAAGTGCAGCAAGACGCAAGATGTATTTTCATATTCTGAGTGCAAAAAGCCTTAACTCACTGGCTGGCGCCCCCTAGTGTCTCCGCTCAATTTAATTTCTCTCCAGGGTCTAGATCAGGAATCAGAAAACACTAGACGTTTTACAAGAACCCTGGAAGTTGTAGACCGCGCACCGACCAATCAGATAAGAGCTGTAAACGTCGCCATGTCGTCAATCTCGTGGCGTCTGTCTGGGTCCCTTTTGTGGGACTGAACAAGGACTAAACCAGGACTAAAACAGGACTAAATCGGTCTCAGTCCTGCTTTGGTCCCGGTCTCAGTTCATGGGCGAACCTCTGGGCCCGTCCTGACATTCAGTGCTGGTTAATCCTGATTTAGTCCTAGTTTAGACCTGGTTTAGTCAAATGTCTAATGACACGCGTAGGATATTGCTTGTGTTCCTCTAACGGACACAGAGACGCAAAAATACAAACTCGGTATAGAGCGAAAATAAATGAGAAGACTTTATTCCTCACCTCTCGTAAAGTGGTAAATCTGTATGCGTCACAAAAGTCCGGCGTCGCAGTTTAAGTCACAGAAACGTCCGTTATCCGTTTTTTCCATTTTTCATTTAAACATAAAAGCGAAAACTGAAAAAACGAATCGTTATCTGTTTTTTCCTTTTGGTTTTGGCGACAAATAATTTAAAAAAAAATAGTAGTTTTTTCGTTTTCTTATTTTTGGTTTTATTTTGAAACACGAATGAACAAATGATACACGGAATATTCCCCAGTAAATGGAGATTTAACAAGTTTTCCATGTAGACCTCAATTCGGAATGATTATTTCCATGTAAACTCAAAGGAGAATATTAATGAGTTTGGAAATAAAATGCAGCCATTGTGGTTAAACAGGTGTGGAGCAGTGACTTCAAACTCAAATAATTCCAGAGTTTTTCTTTATTCCCGGTGAGCGTGGATGTTCCGTGTTTTCACTTTGTCACTTTTTCCCCCAACCAGGAGCGGGCGGGAGTCGGGAGTCGGGGAGTCGGGGAGTCGGGGGTACAGGGTTGCGGCGGTGGTCGGGTCGCGCGCCGCAGACCCCTGACCCGGAGCGCGTTTTAATCCGATCCACCCGAGCTCCAGAGAGAGAGGGGGGGGCGTCTGTGCGGCGCCGTGCCCAGACACAGAGCCTCTGTTCGGGCCACACTTCCTCCAGGACCTGCCTCTTCACACAGGAAAGAGCGAAGAAGAAGAGGAAGAAGAGGAGGAAGAGGAGGAGGAGGAGGGAGCGCAGAGACGAAAGAGCAGGACGAATATTTAAAGTTGTTTCATTTGAGGTGTGAAAAGGCGTCTGTTGTGACCCGGTTTTGAGTGACAGATGTGTTCGACCAATCACAGTAAACCAGGACTAAACGAGGACTGAACCAGGACTGAACCAGGACTAAACGAGGACTAAAAAAACAGGATTAAACCAGCGTCCTTAGTATAAATACAAACACGCCGCAACTGCCAAGCCAAACCAGGACTAAACCAAGACTAAACCAGGACTAAACCAGGACTGAACCAGGACTGAACCAGGACTGAACCAGGACTAAACCAGGACTAAACCAGGACTAAACCCAAACTAAACCAGGACTGAACCAGGACTGAACCAGGACTAAACCAGGACTGAACCAGGACTGAACCAGGACTAAACCAGGACTAAACCAGGACTGAACCAGGACTAAACCAGGACTAAACCAGGACTGAACCAGGACTAAACCAGGACTAAACCAGGACTAAACCCAAACTAAACCAGGACTGAACCAGGACTGAACCAGGACTAAACCCAAACTAAACCAGGACTGAACCAGGACTGAACCAAAACTAAACCAGGACTGAACCAGGACTAAACCAGGACTAAACCAAAACTAAACCAGGACTGAACCAGGACTAAACCAGGACTAAACCAAAACTAAACCAGGACTGAACCAGGACTAAACCAAAACTAAACCAGGACTGAACCAAAACTAAACCAGGACTGAACCAGGACTAAACCAGGTCTAAACCAGGTCTAAACCAGGACTAAACCAGGTCTAAACCAGGTCTAAACCAGGACTGAACTAGGTCTAAAAGATGGAATATAAGGTAACAATAATATGACAGAGAAAATATGCTTTCAAGAAATAAATAAATAAATAAATAAATAAAATAAAAAGCATACATGAAAAAATAAAACATATAAAAGTAATCCAACATAAATAAATATCTCAAATAAGTGCATTAAAAGAGTCAATATTTAGATTTGTGGTGTTTATCAAATGGCAAAAATTCACTGAGACTCATTTTGAATAAGTCACCGAATATCATAAGTATTTCATGAATAAGTTTTAAAAAATACTGTGGAACATTTCAGGCAAATCAGAAACATCTCCATGGAGACGAGGGGACACCACTGGGCCAAGTTTCTGTTCAGCTGTTCAGATCTGCGGAGAGGCGACTGTGCTCTTTGTAAGATCCTTTGTTTTCCAAATATGGAGATAGAATTGACTCAAAAAAGATAAATATATAAATATACATACATTTATAAATATATTATCTGCTGGTTGTTCAGTGGAGTTAGATTTCACATTCAGACTTTATTTGTGGATGGAAGTGTGATGTAAAAATGTCTCAAAATTCGATAGAAAAGCAAAAAAAAAAAAAAAAAAAAGAAATCCACAAATACAAAGTTGAGTCAAGCATATTTATTTTCTAATGAGCTCCTGTGTCCATATCATTTCCCTTGAGGATCAATAAAGTTTGTTTAAGTCTAATTTCATTAACAATTCTGTGTTTAAAGAAGCACCATGTAACTTTCCATCTGCCTGTTTCCATGGTGATGCTATTGCTTTGCCTGTGATGTTCTGAAGTGTGGCATTAAACACTTTTCTCGCGTTTATTCACCTTATTCACACACGTATTTTTATTGGTCAAAATATTATTTTTAAAAAAAAAAGTCTATTCTAACTGTGAGCAGGTGTGCCTCTCCACAGACCTGACCTGTAACTCGTCCTGGTGGCGTGCCGGCTCGTCTCCATGGAGATGTTGTTGCTATTGACAACGGTGAAAACAACCTGCATAGGCTCATGATATCTCCAGTACTGTACGATAGTGACCTGAACCAGGACTGAACCAGGACTGAACCAGGACTGAACCAGGACTAAACCAGGACTAAACAGGACTGAACCAGGACTGAAAACCAGGACTGAACCAGGACTAAAACAGGACTGAACCAGGACTAAACCAGGACTGAACCAGGACTAAACCAGGACTGAACCAGGACTAAACCAGGACTGAACCAGGACTAAACCAGGACTGAACCAGGACTGAACCAGGACAGAACCAGGACTGAACCAGGACTGAACCAGGACAGGAACCAGGACTAAAACAGGACTGAACCAGGACTAAACCAGGACTTAACCAGAACTTAACAAGGATTAAATCAGGACTTAACAAGGACTAAAGCAGGACTAAAACAGAATTAGTCCAGGTCTAAATTGGGTCTAAACCAGTACTAAACCAGAACTAAACAAGGACTGAACCAGGACTAAAACAAGACTAAACCAGGACTAAACCAGGACTGAACCAGGACTAAACCAGGACTTAACCAGAACTTAACCAGAACTTAACAAGGACTAAATCAGGACTTAACAAGGACTAAACCAGGATTAAACCAGGACTAAACCAGGACTAAAGCAGGACTAAACCAGAATTAGTCCAGGTCTAAATCGGGTCTTTTTTTGACGAGGGAAACAACATTTTAACACAACACAACTTTTAAAATAATGATTCTTGTGACTCAC